AAGAAACCCAAGAGCTGGTGGCTCAAAGGCAGGCTGCCACGCACTGAGTTGTCAAGGAACAAGGAGGTATAGGCAGTACATCCACATCTGGGCATCTACTGTAGCCTTTCTTTTTCGCTACATAACTTTAACTCACCCTTTAAGACTCAGCTGAAGCCTAGCCTCTTCTGGAGTGCCTTCATAGAACTTCCCTCTGACTTAGCTGGCTCTTGTATATTTCCCAATACAACTTCCGTGTAACTACATCAGATAATCTGTTACCTTCTTCTGTAGTTTTGCTTTTCTATATCATCCACTTTGTGAGCTCCTTGAGGGAAAAGATTGTTGACCTGTATCTTCATAATGGCTGCACAAGGTAGAGCTCAAGAGATGGTTATTTAACTAGCAAAAATAGTTATAAGAATGACATCATAAGGTAATCACTCAGTGGGTTCTTCTTGCCCACTGCACAGATACAACTAATTTAGTGAGACAGCAGTATTGCAGTAGAGAAAGAGTTTAATTAATGCAGGGCTAGCCAAGCAAAGGACAGAAGTTTATTAGTCAAATCAGTCTCCCAAAAAGCTTAGAGGCTAGGAGTTTTTTGGACAATTTAACAGGCAGGGGTCTAGGGAATGGGTGCTGCTGATTGGTTGGGAATGAAATCATAGGAGTGTAGAAAACTGTCCTCATGCACTGAGCCTCTGGATAGGGTCCTCAGGACCAGTTGAGTCACGAGTCAAAGGTCCTGGTGGAGTCAGTCAGTTGCCAGAATGCAAAAATCTGAAAAACATCTCAAAAGGCCAACCTTAGGTTCTAGAATAGTGATGTTATCTATTAGAGCAATTGTAGAGGTTACATATCTTGGGACCTCTGGAACAATGGCTGGTTATTGTTTAACTCTGCCTACATCCTAGTAGAATTCAGGCTTCTCTCATAATCGTGACCTTGGGGTCTTTCATTAGTTTTACAAAGGCAGCTTCAGTCCCCAAACAAGGAAGGGATAGTTTTGAGAAGGGTTATTATCATTCTTGCTTTTAGGTTAAACTATATACTAAATTCCTTCCAAAGTTAGCTTGAGCTATACCCAGAAACGAACAAGAACAGCTTGTGAGGGTAGAAGCAAGATGGAGTCTGCTGTGTTAGATTTCTTTCATTGTCATACTTTTTCTATGTCAGATTTCTCTCGTTGTCACAATTTTTGCAAAGGTGGTCTCAATAATAGCAATAATCAGTATTTATTGAATGCTCATTGTATGTGAGCACTTGACATATAATCCTAACCCTAAGAAGTTGATAATTTTATTATCCCTATTTTTCAGATGAAGAAACTGACATATAGGTTTTTATGTTATTTGGGGGCCAAAAGATAACTTCCCCTTTGCCCTCTGAAAGTTCACTAAAAATAAACTGACAAAAGGCAGGTTAATAGCAGAAAAGGCATACAAAATTATTTTAACATGCACAAGCATGGGGAAATCACATGAGAATGATTATCCACTAGCTAAATTGGGCACAGAAGCTTATCTATTCTTCTTCATAGGGGAGTGGATAGATGGGGAAAGTAGACAATTTTTTGAAGAGCAATAAATGATTATTAGGGAGAACGAATGGACCCAGGAGACAGAAATTAACTTGTAAATTATTCTCTTTGGAATTTGAATGAGCCCAAGAGGCAGGCATTATCTTGTAAAAAACATCTGTCCAGGTGTGGTTACATTCTCAGCTTTCTTTTCTGCAATAGATAATGAAATTTCAGGGAGAAGATGGAAGGCAATTGTGTTCCTTTTTGGGGGCTACTGTTTGTAGATAGATAAGGAAACTGTGGAGAAAATCTTCACCCTGTGCTTTGGGAGAGACAAGGGATTGAGAGATGGTAGTGAGGGGAAGGTCCCTTATATTTCAGGGTATTCTGGTATTCTTCTTACCCAAGATTTGCATAGTTATATGTTTTTTGTCCTGGAAGTAAACTGACCCAGTCTGAGTCCAGACTCTGAACAGACACTTAACCACTGTATGACTAAATCAGTGCATGAGTGAAACGAATGAATGAATAATAACCCCAAGCCTGATCCTTCCACACACGGGAGTCATTCTGGGATGATGTTATCGGGACAGTCTATATAGTTCAAATATTCGCTTCAATGTCATGTTCTACGTACAGGAAGACTTCCAAGTAGCTTAACTAGAAGCATCAATCCTTCCTCTGGCACCTTTTTAGTAGCACTGACTACCATATGTTGGAATGTATTTGCATGTCTTAGTTTCTTTACTACTGATAAGATTATTTAAAAAAAAAAAAAAAAAAAAAAAAAAAAACTGCTTAAGTTTCTATTCATCTTGGAGTTTTCTACAGCCCCAAACATAAAGCCTTATACACAATAGGCTAACCAATGAGTGTTTGCCAGGTGAATAATGGAAACTTAAGTGACAAGCAAAGGGATCTTTGACTCTTCCTTTATTTTCCCCCAGAAACTGTAGAGACTCTTTTTTATCTCTCTTTCTCAGATTCTGAAGAGTCTGTGGTCATACAGATTTTAGATGGCTCTGTAAAATAAAATTATATTTAAAGATATTAAGTTCAGGGAGGAATCTACGAAGTTTACTTTGTAACATTTTGGTAATCATTTGGTTAGAAAACTGTATTTCTAAGAAACTGGTATTCTTCCTTCCAAAACTGCATTCATAGAATGAATTTTAAAAATTATGTAGAAAATCACCAATGTTTCTAAAATATTTCCATGGTAAAAAAAATTACTTCTTTAAAAGTTAACTATAGTTATCAAGAATTGCCTTTCTAAAACCTCAAATGAAAAGCATTTTCTCTTTCCACTGAATAATAAATCTCTAATCATCATTGATAATCAATTCTTAGAAGAGGGCCATACCAAGTAAATTTGGCTGGGATGACTAAATTACAAAGCACATATGTCGGAGCAAGTTGCAAATCTTCACTGACTTCCCATTATTTACAAAGGATGATATAGCTAATATGTATAAAACACATAGAAAATAATATAAATTTAATTCAGTGGACATTTCTTTATTGATTATGGTATATAAAATGAATGGCATTAAGTGCCAGGGAATATACAGGAACACAAGACCTGGTCTCCATCTTTGCAGAATTTATGATCTGGAGATGGATATTTGAAAAAGAGATAAATTAACATGTAGACTGTGTGATTTTATTATAATAACAGATAACATTTAGCACTTAACAATGTTTCAGTAATTGTCCTAGTACTTTACATGGCATGATCTCATTTAATCCTTACGAAAGCTCTATGTAGTAGGTATAATTATTATTATCCCACTACATAGCTGATGAACCTGAAGCTCAGGAAGATTCAGGTAACTTCTGCAAGACCACATGCCCAGGGGATGGATGGGTGGAGGAGCCAGGATGCAAACCTAAGCCCATGTGTATTTAAAGTCCATACCAAGAAGGCAGTAAAAATAAGGTACATCAAAGAGCACATGATTCATTCAAACTTGGGGAAATCAGACGCTGTGGCACCTAAGCTTGCGCTTGAAGGATGAAGGTGAATAGAGAGGGAGAAGGGCATTGCTAGCAGGATCAAGGCAGGTAGAGGAAGCTGAGGGGGACCTTGAGAGAACAGAGAAGAGTTAAGTGTTGCCATCTATGTAGGTGGTAGCATGCGTGTAACAGAGGAGGTGAAACTGAGAAAAGTGTTTGGAACCAGGTATCATTGGCCTTAAGCGTTACAGGAAGAGTCTAGACTTTTCTCATTAGGCAGAGGGCAGTCACTGAACCGTTGTGAACCAGATCAGAGCTGTATTTTAAGATTGATTTGGCAGTCACGTGTAAAAGGAGTGAGATCCAGGAGAGGGAAAAAGAGAGGAGCAGTTAGGAAACTGCTAAAATAGCTAAGGCAAATGGCACTGGGAGTCTGAATTTGTACTGCAATAATGTGAGGAGAGAGGACCAAACATAGAAACAGGAGAAGATTTGGCGCTAGCTGATATTTTAGTCCATTTGGGCTGCTGTAACAAAATATCATAGACTCAGTGGCTTATAAACAACAGAAATTTATTTCTGACAGTTCTGGAGGCTGGAAGTCCAAGATCAAGGTGCTGGCAGATTCGGTGTCTGGTGAGGACCCTCTTCCCCGTAGAGAGGCGTCTTCTCCCTGTGTCTGCACATGGAGGGAGGGGTGAGAGGTCTCTCTTAGGTCTCTTTTATAAAGACATTAATCCCATCCACAAAGGTTCTTTCCTTATGATCTAATCACCTTCCAAAGGCCTCACCTTCTAATCACCATCACCTTGGAGGTTAAGATTAAGCATATGAATTATTGGGGACACAGATATTCAGAACATGCCACTGGAGGTAGGGAGCATAAGGAGAGAGATGACAGTGTTTCAGAAGTTCAAAAGAGCAAGCATGTCATCTGTAGTGCAGAGGAATCACATGACCTTTTCCAGTTAAAAGGGGTTATATTGGGAGATAAGGGGAGCTAAATAGGAATGGTGCAACTGGTGGGACACTTGAAAGCACATGAGTGAAGGTTGGGATTTCCAAATGCAGCAAAGCAACACTTTTCATAGTGCGGTGCAGGGATTTGACACATGTCGGTCTATGACCAAATAATGATGTCCATACTTCTCAGATACTTGAAGTGAGCATGCAGACCTTTAACAAAGGTAGAGTATGTGGCATTTAAAGTCTGTGATTTTTAATTGTGAGCAATTGAAATGACTGAAGTGACCATATATAATTTGTATAAGTAAAACAAATGATTGCATATATAGTTTGTTATAAATATAACAATTTTAAAAAGGAAATGTAAACTCTAGGTTTTAAATTGTGCATTAATGTGTATACTGTCTTCTTAACTCAGCATGATAATAAGACAAGAGAAATGCATGCTTTAACAGTCTCTTTTCTACTGATCTGTTATCCTTTTCTTTGAGAGTTTTAATTAATCCATCTAGAACATTCTTGTGTTTCCCACTTTCATATGAATATTTCTTTATTTTTTCCTATTTTTTAACAGACGATAATAATGAAGAAGAAGAGGATGTCGAAATGAAAGAAGATTCAGGTATTAAATTCATTCTTTTATTATTAGGGGGTAAGTAGGGGTCATTTTGTTGTTTATGTACACTTCATATTTTTTCAAAGAAAGACAAAATAAGATTAATAAAATAGAAATATATGCTCAGTGTTATAAAATTTAAAAGTAGTTGTGCTAACACTTAAGGTTAATGCAGTTACTGTATTTAAGGAATAAATTTGACCTTGAGTTTCCTGACAGTCAAGGTAAAAATGGAACATGATGTTGTACTTAATAGAGTTATATAACAAATCGCCCCCAAAACTTAGAGTAAGCTGAAAACAACCACTTCTTATGCTCATGAGCACAGCAGAGATAACTTAATCATTCTGTTCACAAGGTGTAGGGCTCAGCAGGAAGATTCAACAGCTGGGAGCTGGGACCATCTGAAGGTTCACTCACTTGTCTGGCTAGTGATTGATCTCAACTGTCAGCTAAAATATTAGCTGGGACAACTTCCTAAAACACTTGTTCATGACCACTTTATGTGGCCTGGGCTTCCTCAAAGCATGGCAGCCAGCTTCCAAAATGAGTTTCTCCTGGAAAAGGGAGACACTGTATTCTCAGGCTTAGACATTCCATTGCATCACTCCATGTAATTCTAATTCTTTGGAATAGTCATGAGCCTGCCAAAATTCAAGAGGAAATGAAAATGGACTCAATCTCTTGTGGGGAGTGGTTCTATAGAGCACGTAAGACCTAAAATATTGTTGTGGCCATCTTTGGAAAATACACTTTCCACATATTATATTTTGTTCTCATTATCAGAATTAAGATGCATGCCAACCCCTCAACAAAGCCCATTTGTTATGAGGAAAATCTAGTGGTTAAATGCACAGGTTATAGCCTAAGGTAGCCATTCAATGTGTCTTTGATAATGAATGCATGAATCAATAGACCTGAATTCAATTCTAGCTCTATCAATTATTGACCTTAGGCAAGTGTCATTTTCTATAAGCCTCAGTTTACAATTCTGGGGGCAATAATTCTTACCGTATAGTTTTGTTTGGGGGATTAAATCAGATAACATACCTAAAGTTTCATACAGTGCTTGGACCATAGTAAAGATTCAGTAAATTATTGCTTTTTTCTTTCTCATTCTAACAGATATTAGAAGGATATAGAGCTTAATTCTATCATTAAAAGCTCCTTGTTCCTCATTTTGGCAGTCACAGTGTTCTGACTGTGAAAGAGGTATCTCAGAGGCCCTAATTTTGTGTTACTTCTCATTTGATGCCAGAATTCCCTACAAATCACTGACAGGCTCAGTCTGGGCAGCTCCATCAGCAGGGAGCTCTTTAAATTCTGATGCATTTGATCTCACTACATGAGGTTTGATTGGGGTGGTCCTTCTCTATGTTAAGTTATATCTCTCTCCCTCCCCGGACTGCCCAATATCTTCAAGAGGAAATAACACCAGTTTCTTTTCTTCATAAAATTTCATTGGAACAAGGATTATAGCTTCTATCTACTCTTCTCCAGTCCAAACATGTCTGATTCCTAAAGTTCCCTTGGACTTCCAAATGCAATGGATTCAGAAGGTATGAGAAGTAGAAGCAGAATCTGAAAGTCAGGAGTAGGAATAAAGGAGATAGAAGAGGAACTGTAGCAGTGGCTGTTGGTGCCCTACTTATGCCTCCTTGGTGCTTGCTTTATTTTACAGCACCAATAGCTTTCCAAGGAAAGTCCTTATGACTGTCTGCTGAGTGCTTTGCTCTCGTCCTGGCAGCAAACTCAAAGCACAAGAGAGTTAATTTCTCTGGAGCAGCCCTCAACCAATAATAGATAAGAGTTGGTTGATTAATACCCACATCTGACGCATGTTCTGTTCCAATGCTGTCTAGTAGAAACATAATGTGAGCCTCAAATGTGAGCCTCATGTATAATTTTGAACAAAGTGAAAGGAAGAACGTAAAACTAACTTTAACAATATTTTGTATAACACAATAATCCAAAATATTATCATTTCAATGTATAATCAATATAAAAATAGTCAGATATTTTACATTCTTTTTTTTTCATACTAAGACTTTGAAATTGGTATGTGTTTTACATACACATCTGAATTCAAACTAGCCACATTTCAACTACTTGTTGGCCATATGTGGCTAGTGGCTACAGTATTGGACAATATTGTTCAGAGGTCCCCAGTAGAACTGAGTCTTGGTTGCCCACAGTGGAATGTACTCATGAACACACCCAGTATTGTCTGCTTTCCTTTTCCTGTCTTTCTTCCCTATTCCTCTTGTGACACTTGCTAAAATCATCTCTCAAATTAACTGCTTAAAACTCAAACCCTTCTATGTTTGCTTCTGAGAGAATATGACCTAAGACAAGGACTTGGCTTGCCTTTTATAAAACATAGAGCTCAAGGTAAAATTTAAATTAAAATTTCAATTCCTATATCCATGTAGAATGTCTTATTGTAAAAAAGAGCCATATGTTTAAAAAAGACTTTAAATTGTCACTCTGTCTTGAATTAACTTTCATGAATTTAATCTTGCCGTTCTCATTTATCTTGCTCACATGAAATGTCCTTGGAGTATCTTTTAGCTACGAGGGATACTGCCCTTTCAAGCACCCAGTATAAGGGCCTTGTCTTGCCATGGATCATTTGCCTAAGTGCTATAAGTACACATTTCTAAACAGAGAGAGTTGGCTTCTCAATGAGATTTAGATAGCTATCCAAACCACTGAATGATTTTAAGGAAATCGTTATTAATGCTAATGGAGAGTCCACAAGTTTGGAGTCAGCATTTGAGGTTTGGCGGCATTAATTGGATCATCATTTCTTTTTTTTTTTTTTTTTTTTTTTTGAGACGGAGTCTCACGCTGTTGCCCAGGCTGGAGTTCAGTGGCGCGATCTCGGCTCACTGCAAGCTCCGCCTCCCGGGTTCCCGCCATTCTCCTGCCTCAGCCTCCTGAGTGGCTGGGACTACAGGCGCCCGCCACCGCGCCCGGCTAATTTTTTGTATTTTTAGTAGAGACGGGGTTTCACTGTGGTCTCGATCTCCTGACCTTGTGATCCGCCCGCCTCGGCCTCCCAAAGTGCTGGGATTACAGGCTTGAGCCACCGCGCCCGGCCTGGATCATCATTTCTGATTTTAGTTCCACCAGGTTTCCTGGGAGTTTGGTCTCCAGCAGCTACATGCAGCTGTTCAAGTCATATTCAATGGCCCAAGGATGCTAAGCCACTCGGGCAGAATGGGCTTGGGAGCTACTCCCAATTTCCTGATACCTGAGTGCTGAAATCATGGAGGATTTTTGTGCTGAATGGTTCCAGCTGGCCTCACCAGACATTGGTGTGCATGATGGCTTCACTCAGATCTCACACTTAAGCATGTCAGTCTCGAAGATGAGTCTGAACCAGTCTCCCAAGGCCTTTAACTGCTGTCTTTCCCCTGCCCTGCATCAATTCTCCTTCTCATTCAAATAGAAAAGCTGGAGGGATTTTTACAAATGCAACTGACACTAATGAAGGGCTACTTGAGTGAATCAACTGGCCAAGACATGCTAGTGAATGATAGTGAATAACAACTTGAATACCTAAACCCACTGGGGTGCTTGTAAATGAACTCTCTGGGTAAGGACAGCCCCAGTGTGAAGAGTTTGCAGATTTCTATGGTATAAACACAAATACCATGATCTTTTTCAAGCTTCCAAAGCATGAGGTCAATGAATAGGAGAGCTGGGGAGAGATGGTACAATTAGCTGGTGTGAGCTGGCTCAAGTCAGCCACAGCACAGCTCTGCTGAGCCAGAGTTTAATTGGGCATGTACTTTGTGCCAATAACGTGACATGCATGAACTCATTTAATACACACAGCAATTCTACAAGGCAGGAACTGTTATTATTGAGGCTTAAAAGGGATTAGTTCCTTGCTTAAATAGCAGAACCAGAATTTGAATCCGAGTTTGCCTGACCCCAAAGTTCATGTCCTTTACTTTCTTGCTCCTGTCTCCAGACTTTTATAGTAAATAGAGGCAGGAGCATTTCAGATGGTATCAGACATGGTCATCTGCAAGGGGAGGTTCTACTCCCATGGGAGGTAGAAGAAGCAGACTGGCTTAAATGCCAAGAATTCCGTGTAAGTCCTTTAATCATCTTCCTTAATCCTTAATTCCTTAATGGCAAATGTCTTCCCATGTCCTTTCATTTCCATGACTGCACTGTTGAAATTAGCCCCAGTCTGAGTCAGCAGGGACGGAAAATTATCAACCACCTATGGAAACTCAACCACATCACAGCTGGATGCACAGTTCAGTCCCTCAGGGGACAAAGCCATGCTCCTGGCAAATCTCCAGGTTTCTACCCTCTGCCAGACATAGGGCAAGCTAAAAAACATGATACATTGTCAAGGAGAAGCATGGGGGTGCTTTTGAAGACAAGCAGAAGCAACTCTCTTCTTCACTCCCCCAGGCCAAGAGGGAAAGTTGTTCCTCCCAAGCCACAAGTAGAAACCTGGACACAGAGGCCTTATGTATCTGTGACTTTCATTTGCATGCCCCAGAACACTTTACCCATGGTGTCATGAGATGATACAATACTGTTTCATATAACACGTTTCATGTTCATATTCAACATGTATGCATGCCCAGTGACCCAAGGAGTGCTCTACAACTTTTTCAAAAATAAAATATTAGTACTTTGGCGGGGGGTGCTTAGATATTTCAAAATGTAGCACATGGATGTCTTTTTAAATAGTACCCACTGCCCAGGAATTCCTATTCTGGTGGGAAATGAAGACCTAGAAATGTAACTCACAAAAATGCAAAAAGTGATTGGAGAAATGCTGGTTTGGAGTTGAATTTCCAGCATTGGAAACTCTCTTCTTGCTCCCAGTTGCAGACGACACATTGCAGTGACATAGAAGGGTTCGATTTTTCTCCCAGTGAGGTTGCAAATGTCTCTTTGCCCATTGTATGAATCCGTTTGAGCCTAGTATTTGCACTCGGTGAGCTGCTCCAAGCATCTCATTTCTGTTTTTG